ATATTTTTTACCCACAGCCGTAAAATGCACTCCGTAACAACGATATTCAGGGAAATATATCAAATACAGTCCAGAAATATCTTTGCCAAATTATATCGAGATCGGTTCAGATTTGGTTATAGCTCCCATATATATTTTTATCCGATTTTATATTATTTGTGCACCAAATGGGCAACACATGTCCGAATTTATTTTGTCATTTGAACTTTAAATTATAATTATAATCATAGCTTGTATGATTGAATTCTCCCATAAAAACGTTTAATTGTTATGTGGAGCTCTAATAAATTAGCAAAGTGGTGTAGGGTATAATAAAGTTCGGCCCGGCCGAACTTAAAGTTTTTTTACTTGTTTTATTCTGAATTTTCCATCCTTGATTCCTCCTCGATTCAGGGAGGTATAATCGTGGTGTTTTTGAAAGATTCTTAGAGACTATCATAGATATTTTTTTCTTATTACACTTGACTTTATGGCTCTTATTACACTTGACTTGTTTTTCCATGACTGTCACATATTGACGTCATCTGATTTAGGATAATTTTTCTTTCAATTAGTTGAATTAATTGTGAGCCTAGTTAGTGGTAAAATTCAATACATTTCCAAAATTTGCTCTCATGCCAACTAACTGTGCCTTTCCCTACCCAACTGAAGTTGTTGATTGACATATCATTTTTAGGGAATGTACCTCATCTGTGTTTTTTTTTTTTTTTTTTCGTTAATGGTCTGTCAAGGTCATATATCCCGAATTCGACAAAAAAATATAGATTTTGTACAAATTAATTTCATATTGAAAGTGATAAGCACTTGTACCCAACTACTGAATATTGTTATTCATGATTGATTTTGGCTCAGCCATTGTTAATGTGCCACTAATGATAGTTGTGGCATTATTCACCACGCGTTTGACCTTTAACCTCGCTCATGGTTGCTCTGTTTTCCTTTGCCGTTCGGTGCTGTATTTTGCTCATCATTCTTTTCTTGGAGTCGTTAGTTGGTCATAAAATTATAGGTCATTAGTTTGTGACAGAGTGACTGACTGACTAGTTATGGCCAACCAATATCAATTGCAAAATAATTGAAAAGGAATTTTTTTTTGTAATGGCAGGACATGAACAAGGCCAGTTAATGTGGCATTTTTTTCTATTTTGATATCTCTAACCCCAGCTAAGTGCGTATAAGGTTCCCTTCACTCTTTTTCCTTAAAAAAGTTTCCTACATAAGCAGTAGGGATTAACCTCTTCTTATGTCCTTGGAGGTCGGTTTTTTTTTTTTTTTTTTAACAAACAACATTTTATAGCTCATATTCACTAGCTAATTTCTTTGTTTTATTGCATAGAACTAGCTGATAAATATTGATGGTGCTAAATTGTATTTTTAAAAATAAAATTGTGTTTTTTTGTGTTCCTGGAAATTTGGAAAGTACCCACAGAAATCTATACCCCATGGAATATACCTTGTGTGAGCAATTCCCACAAAAATCTATATCCCCCGAAATTGAATTCCTGGGCCTATAATTTTTATTATATTTTGGTCGTTACATTTTAATGTAGTGCACCCCATCAACCCTGAAGCCCACAACACTAATTCGATAATAATGAGGAAATTGTCATGAAATGATAACAATTATTATAATTAAAATACATACAAATATATGTATGTAGAAATATTTATTTGAATATAAAAATGTTAATAGGCTACTAGACCGCGTCGTTTGTTACTTTTATTGTGGGAAGAGAATAAAAATATGTTTTTTCGTTGTTTTTTTATGAAGAGAAAATAAGCCATTAATTTAGCAAGTAGTAGGGACTTGTGTTATCATACACAATAAATCTGTAATAATCTATATACATATGTATAGTATATGTATACTATATAATAATAATAATTTTTGGAAAGAGTTGGCACAGTACAGTGTTATTGTTCAGATTAGATTCGATGACAATTTAATTCAAAGAATCAAATTCTATTTGTTTCCTATTCTGAACTTAAATCAAGTTCAAAGACGGATTGTTTTGGACCGCAATTTGATATAGCCCCGGTATGGCTGCAGAACTTTAGGCATATTGTTAAAAAAAAAATACAATTCAATTACCTTCAATTTTATATTTCGAGGTCCTAACGCTCTTGTGAACCGCTGCCCATATATATGTTCTCTATGTAACGATTTTCCCGTAATTTGGTATTTCGAATTCTTAACACGTATATAATCCTCTAGAAAATGATGGTTGAAGTAGGTTTACATTACTTTTTATACCCTCCATATAACTTTGTAATTCCGCTTGTAACTGCTCGAAATACTCATGTCAGACCCAACGAAGTATATATATTCTTGATCAGCGTAAAACTCTAAGTCGATGACCGTCTGTCTGTTGTAATCACGCTATCTTTCGAAAGAATTAAGATAGATGGCTAAAATTGTGCACACATGTTTATAGCCCCCATATAACGGTACCTCCCGATATTCTGTATTTTGATAATTTTAGCGACATTATTCACCGGAATTGTTTCATATTTGGCATTTCAAATTCGTAATGGATACTACAACCTAGGACAGAAAATTGTCTATGCAGGTCCGGACTTCGTATAGCTCCGATATAACGGTACCTCCCTATATACAGTATTTTGATGATGCTACATTATTCGCCGTTTATAATATGGTAATGGCTTATAACCAACAATGCCTATTTAGATCCATTTCGTATAGACCACAATTTAACGGCTATATTCGGTATTTTTAAGATTTTAACAGAATTTCTAACGGATTTTATTTCTTAAAAATTTGTTTCAAATGGCGGAGGGTATTCAAAATTCGGCCCGGTCGAACTTACTGCTTCTTAACTTGTTTTGTTTCTAGTTTCTAACTGTTTTGTGAACCGCTGCCAATACACGTTCTCCATGTAACGATTTCCAAATAATTTGGTATTTCGAATTCTAAGCGCCTACATAACCCTCTGGAAAGTAATGGTTGAAGTAGGTTTACATTATTTGGGTGAACAGAAAAAAAAAAAAAAAAAAAAAAAAAAAAAAAAAAAAAATATATATATATATATATATATATATATATATATATATATATATATATATATATATATATATATATATATATAAGTTCAAAATTTATTTTCATGTTCGGAAAGTGCTTCCCTAGACCTATCGTTTCGGACTTTTCGATCAAATATCTTAATTTTTTTCAAGGACTTTCCTCTCATACTCGTGGATTTTTATACCCTAACACACTATATGTTGGGGTTATTATAAGTTTGATTGGGCTAGAAAGTTCATTACACTGAGAAATATTGATCCCAGACCCACGATGTTACCTATGGATTTTCCTATCTCGCCGAAATGAGTCCATCTAGCTATGAGTGTCCATTCGTCCATGCTATGTTCCTGACCTTACGAAATTTAGTGTAGAGTTAAGGTTATGGGTCCGTACAGAAGCTTATTGTTTTTGGAGGTGATCGCAAAATATTTAGGGGGTGAAAATAAAAAAGATTTCCTGATTTTACAGTTCTTCGACAGCTCATAATTACAGATTCGACCCTAATCGACCCGAAATAGGATAAGAGCTTTGAACAGAACAGAAGTTCTGTTACATTTTGTAATATTTTTTACACCTGACAACACTATATGGCTATCGTAGCTCGCAATTATCGTCCGATCTTCACGAAACTTTTCATGCCACTTGGGATTGCGTTGGAATGGAAGCGTATTGTTTTAGAAAATGTTAGCAAAATATTTAGGGTTAGGGACCAAAAACTTAAAAATTTCCTGATTTTGCAATCGCTCTGCAGGTCACGAGGATCAATCGGGATTCCCATAAGGTTAAACAGATTTATTTTAATTTCTATTTATCTCCACAATTTGTACCAAAAAGTGCTCATGTACTCAGACTACTCCTTCTTGTAGTCCCCCCAGTGAAAATTGTTACAATGGTAACATCAGTTAGGCCATTAAATATAGCAAATTGATTGTTTGAATGGAAATCGTGGACTCATTTTATATAACTTCTTCCCTTACAAAAGTCAAATATTATTATTTTGTATAATGGGATGAACTTTTCTGATTTTTTTAAGCTCATATTCACATGGTTGTCATAGAGATGAAAATCCTGGACATACGCGGTGTATAATTTAAGAATATTAAAATAAAGTTTTGTTTTTCCAAAAATTTTAGACGTTTTAAATTGAAGGACTTCCTGAGAAATTTTACTTCCTCAGAATTTCTGACTAAATTTTTAAGGACATTTTGTTTATGGACTTCCTTAACAAACATTGTGGATTTAAAAAAATAAATTTTTGTTGACAAATATTCTGATCGGGAATTGTGACTTTTAAAGATAAAACACTTCAAGGACCTATTAACAAAAACACACCTTCCTAGACAATTTTCTGTCATAGACTGTAGTACGCATTGGGAAATTCAAAAATAACATTTCAAACAATTCCGGTAAATAATGTCGCTTCGACGGTATAAAAACCTCCAGTCGGTCATCCATAGCTATAATTCATCCAGTAGGTTAATATGCCAACATTTTGCATTTAGAAGACATATATAGATTTCCTTTAGAAGGTAGTCAGTCCTTTTCTGAGCATTTCATACAAAATGTTGAGGATAAAAGATCTATAGGTTCTATATTGACAGAATGTCTCCTAAACTAGTAGGGTATAACTTATTCGACCCTTTAACCACACAGCCTTTTATTATTTGCTAACTAACTTCCCACAATGTCGTGTCGGAACTTATATTTATCTATAGCAACAACAATGACAATAACAACACCAAAGTATAGGCCATACAAATAAATTATGGCACTGTTGCTATAAATGCCATGGTATTTGGAGAATCCAGTAAATAAGAGAGAGAGAGTACAATAGCAATTTGAATTGAGAGAAAGAGAGATAGCGGGAAAGTGGGCACATGGCAACACATCCTGATGCACTCATTTTGTGGAAATCTAATAAATACCGTTAACAAGAGATAGACTGGAGACATTTATTGTTGAGCATTGGCCAAGTGTTGAACAGTTCGAACGGATAGAAGAACAACAAAAAACCCAGACGGAAAACCGGAAACAAAAAAAAAAAACAAGTTGAAATAACAGCAGTGCATATCTGTATAACAGAGAGCAAAAAAAAGGAAATAATTTTTGAATAAGGAAGGGGATATCTTTGTGAAAAAAGGAAATTCGGGAAAATAATTGAAGTTTTTGGTTAAATAAAAACAAGTGTTTAAAGTTTGAAACTTGAAAAGAAATTCGAAATTCTTGTGTAGAACAACGCCCATATTTTTTTGTGAAGCAGAAAAGAAAATCTTGTGTATACAAAGACCACTGAGTCAGGCAAAGAGTTAGTTTTTGTGGGTGCATGCACGTTTACAAGGACTTGACACAGATTCGAAACTGCATTCGTGCCGAGCAATCAGAGATAGAGATTTAAAAAAAATTAAAGAAAGTTATTTAATTGTGAAAATCAGAAAAACCCCTTTGGCCATTAACAAAGACTGAATAAACGAATTTATTCATCAACAAAAAAACAGAGACATAACTCAGAACTAAGCAAATCATTATTTGAATTCAAATTTTTGTAATCGAATTTTATTGAACCACCACCACCACCACGATAAAGAGATTTCCGTGTTAACTTCGAGCCAACACTAAAATTCAATTCATTAAAAAAGTCCGTTCAATCACCCCAACAACGGAGCCCCTAAACAAATTTCTTAATCGCAAGGATAAGAACAATCCATGTCTGTGGCTCAAATTATTGGAAAATAAACTCAAGACCACTCCCCATCGGTAGCAGACGGCTGGAGACGAGGGGCCGAACACAGCTCTCACCAGACTTGGCATTTGAAGAAAAACAAACACACAGCCAGACACACACACAACATCGGCATCTGATTTTTATTGGGTCTTTTGTCCAATTCGTCATTTCCTTAGATACATAAATGTTTTACAAACCCATATCAATGGAGTACTTAATTAATATATTGAAATTTAATATTAAATATTTAAAAAATCAATAATATAATTGAGAGAGAAAGAGAGAAACCACAAACCGACCAAGTCTGCAAAGCGAATAAAACATTCAATTTCAAAGGAAGGCTCCTACGCAGACAAAGCAAAGGAAAACAAAATATTTTAAAGCGAAAGCAAATAGCAGAGACCAATTTGAATGTGTTCTCCTTTTTTTAAACAACAACAAAAATAATATTTATCACACTGGAAAATATGTAAAATAAATGTTCATCCAATTAAAGTACATCTACCAAGCAAAGCAGGCAAATCCTCTTAAATAGCTGGTCTAACAACCCTCTGGACAAGAAGCAAAAAACCAAAAACAAAACCCCAAAGGCAGCAAACAAAAGATAAAATCAAAAGAACATCAGCAACACAACCAATACTACAGCTCTTGAGGCCAAACTCTCGACAGAATATCTTTATTAACAACGACGACAGGAACAACAACAACAAGAAAATCTACAACAAAGCTCTCAATTTATTTGCATTTCCCTAGCGCATATTGGCACCTGTAACGGCCATCAAGAGGGGCTGGCACAACCCCATTGGCCACAAAAGCCGACAATAAAGAGCTTAACATCTCACGCTCCTCTTTCTCGCTAACTCTCATACCCTCGCTAACAACAACAAAAGTTCTTTTTTTTTTGGCCAGCAGAGATACTAAACAAACAAACAAATACTGCCCGTTGACGCCATTAGGCGCTCTATATCTAAACACCCACCAACTGACCAAAAAAACACAAACAAAATACTAACAGCTTCGAGTCTTTACCGACTTTTGTTCTTTGGTTACATTTAAGTTCGTTCGCACTTTCCCAATTTTTTTTCCATTTGCGGGGAAATTTTGAAATGGAAAAATCTGAACAATTTTCAGATTATCTTTTTGCCAAAATGGGTCCACCAAATTCTACCACCGTCAACGGTTCGGAGTTACCGCCCAAAACTACCGAACGCTGTGAAGCTCCGCGCGAGCTAAAAGGCATGCGCAAATGGCTGAGTGAGAATCTGATGTTGCTGGTGACGCTGTCCGGCGTTATGCTGGGTGTAATATTGGGTAAGTAGAGGCTTTTTTTGAATATTATTTTTAAATATTTATTTAAAAAAGGCCGAGTAAAGTCAGGTCAGAGTAAACTTTATAACAAAATCTCAGCAATTACTTTCAAGAATATCCTTCAAAAATACTGGGTTAAACTGGGTACATCTGATAAAATCTTCGAAAATATTCTTAATAAATTTAGATCATATGCGAGTGTGCCTTTTAAAAATAACCTCTGCATGAAAATTTCAAGATTTCAAGGTCTGTATATTTAAAAAAACAATTTACCGCATTTCTGAGTATCCTTTGACAGATATTGTTAAATATTCGAGCATAATTTACTCAAAAAACCTTCCAAATAGTATCCTGAACCATTATTCTCAGATTAGTTAGTTTTTTTCAAAACATTGTTTTAGAAATGAACGATTATGTTTCTGAGAGTCCTCAAACAACAATAACAAGTAAAAAAAAACAGGTAAATTCGGCCGGGCCGAACTTTTAATACACTCCAGCATATGGAAGGAACTTGAAAAATTTAAAAAAAAAATCCGAAAACTACCACTCAAAAAAAAGTTATATGGGGATTATACGAAGACGTAGACCTGCACAGACAATTTTTATCATAGACTGTAGTACCTATTACGAACTTGAAATACGAAGTTAGCTAAATTTCCGGTGAATAATGTCGCAAAAATCATGAAAATACCGAGTATCGGGTGGTACCGTCCTATGGGGGCTATACGAAGACCCTTTAGAAACTCATTCTTCCTACTGGTAAAGTATGCATGTATGCAAAATTCGTTCGAAAGATAACGTGATTACAACAGACAGACAGACTGTCTGGCCGTCTTAAAATTTCACGCTGATCCAGAATATATGTACTTTATAGGGTCTATTATAAATATTTCGAGGAGTTACAAACGGAATATCAAAGCTGATATACCCTCCATAAAATGGATAACCAATGATAATGCCGTTCTTAGATGTATCAAAGTATTTGAAACTATTTTCAAGACAGTATTCTCAGAAACATATTGTCCTTAAAGATTTAAAATTCCTTAAAAAAATGTTCAAATTAACGTTAAAAAGTCCTCCAAGAGAGCATTCTGTTACTATGAGAATCCTTAAACATATCACAAATTACATAAAAAATAATCTTAAAAATCAAGATTTTTGGCTCTGAAAGTCACAAAAATATTTTAAAAAGTTCACGATTTTAGATTTAAAAAATATATTTAAAAAAAGTAATAAAAAATTAAGTTCGGCCGGGTCAAACTTTTAATATCCTCCACCTTAGGGTAAAGGAAACATTAGAAGAAATGTGGCAAAAATCATCAAATTACCGAATATCGGGAGGTATCGTTATATGGAGGCTATACCAAAACGTAGACCTATAATTACAATGACTCGCCACACGAACTGGGACCCATTATGACCCACAAATACCAATTTTTAGACAAATCAGTGAAAAAATGTGGCAAAACCATCAAAATACAGAATATCGGGATGTACCGTTATATGGGGGCTATACCAAATGGTATGGTATGAACCCATACATGCAATGTTTCGCCACCGGAGCTGGAACCCATTATGACCTACAACTACCAATTTTCAAACAAATCTGTGAAAAAATGTGGCTTAAATAATCAAAATATCGAATATCGGGAGGTACCGTTATATGGGGACTAAACCAGAACGTGGACTGATATATCTCATTTTCAATACCAACCATCCTAGACACAATACAAATTGCTCTTCTAAATTTTGGCGCTCTACATCAAATAATGTGGGCTGTATCGTGATTTCAACAGACAGACGGACAGACAAACAGACGGACATCGTTAAATTGACTTAGAATTTTATGCTGATTATGAATATATATACTTTATGGGGTCTACGACGAATATTTTAGGATGTCACAAACGGAATGACAAAGTTAATATACCCTCCTTTCCAAGGTGGAGGGTATAATAATAATAGGCTTCGTCCTTGGGTCAAGCAACTTATTTTTGCACAGTTTCATCTCAAACAGGCAACAAATGCGACAGACGGACGGACATGCGTAATTCTACTCAGAAAGCGATTCTATGAGGATCCTGAAAAGTAACTATAGGTCTATTGCGTTTCCTTCTCCATGTTACAAACAAATTAATAAAGACAGTACTGTGTAGTGTAAAAAACCCATGCGTAGATTTCTGAAGGTTCTTTTAAATGATACCCGTGAAGAGGTCTCAAAGTCCTTTAAATAGATATTCCTCAATATAAAATATTAGAGGTGTAAAACTCCACCAAAGATATTCTTAAAAATCCACGCATTGAAGTCAGGTCGAAATTTCAAAATATTTTTAAAAGAATCACGTATGAAGGTCTGAATGTTCTTTTTAAAGTACTCAAAAATGTCATGAATGGAAAACTTAACGTCCTTTATAGATCCACAATTATTGTCTGAATATCTATCAAAAATTCTGAAAAAAATAAAGGTCATAAACTTTTTAAAAACATTTTTCAAAAATATCTTTAAATTATTCTTAAGAGCTCCACGTTTAGATTTTTGAGTCCTTTAAATTAATATTTATAAATAATAAAGGCTTAAAGGTCCTTTACATTACTTTTGAAAATGCCACCTATTGGGGTTTTAGAGTCCTCTACGAATATTTGTCTCTGAAAGTTATTGTCTATCTGTCTCGTTTTTCAAAATCCATGCTTTAGTAGATTGTCTCCAACTCATTTCGAGCTCATAATAGCAAATTACAGAAAACCGTTGTATGCTTCGAAATCCTTTTTTAAACTGCGGTTGGATCATTCAACCACCGAATCGGTGTAAAAACAGCTACTTTCGTTGAAATTTGAAAAATTAGGAGACATAGACAGAATAAGGAAAAGACCAAAGAGGCAAATATATATTTGTATCTTGGGTAATCAATAAGTGACCTACTGCTGGCGTTCCTAAGCAGCATTGGGTGGATTTTGAACCAGTCTGGTTGGTTTATTTACTTACACGTTTTCTCTTAGTTCGTAGGATCAATCCATTGCAGTTCGCAGCAAAGCTTTCTGTTAGGCCGACAGATCTTACCTTTGTTAGACTGGATTGTTTCGGCTTAACATGGACGAAGGTACGTCATTTGAATATTTTCAAATACCTTCTGTGGCAGCTCGCTTAACGTCTCGAACTTTCTTGTACACCCTTGCTTTGCCTTCAAACTCAAAAATTATGAACTCCTTTTCTTCTGAAGTAGGACCGGAAGGTTAAATTTTTGCAGGTTTTCCTATCCAGGGACTTGCAGAACTTTGTTCTCCAGGAGGTCAATTAGTTTCGAATGCTCATACGCAAAGGCAAAGACCGGGAAATCCTTATAAGAATCCACCCAGTTGATTTGTTTCTACTTGGAATTTCAACAACAACATCCACATGCCAACATCGGATTTGATGCCTGAATGAATAAATATCCCTAAAGAATGGGACCTTCGAAAGTTTTACAATTCTTCGAGCAGGAACTCCTCACGTGCTGTGTTCCTTGATCCATTGTTATTTTGTTTATTTTCTGATACTCAGATATGCGCTATCTTTTTGCTGAGATCTTTGCTGTTAAACTCCATCATATTTAGGATTCCACTGATGTTTTTGTTTGGTTAGCTTTCAAATTCAGATGTTGGTTTCCTACTTGACACTTAAGGTGGAGTAGAGATTACACTTTCACTGAATATCTCTGTCGCCTCCCAAGTCTTATGCTTTTAAAATATTAAAAATAAAAAATTAAAAACTTTTGTCTTCAAAAATATAGCAGTTTTTCAAGGCCTACTTTTTCAAATTATATGTTATTTATAGAAATTGAGATATAATGGTACAGTTTTTATCAATATTTTGTTGTCGCAAAATGATAAGGCTTAATCCCATTATTGTTGTTTTTATAAAAACAACGTTCGTTGTATTAATATATATTTCTTAAGAGGCACTGCAGATATCATCGTGGATTTTAAAAATATTTTTCAAAATTTATTGAATCTAAGATTCAGAATTGTTGAAGGACATTTTTAATTTATCGCATGTTCATTCCTTGATTTTTAATGGACTACTAAAACAGATTATTATATAACATAGTGTGAGATTAAAAATAACATTGAGTAAGATTTTGTCTAATATTGACTACTTCCTCTACTTTACATGAGATATGTCATATATTTTTTGGAAAACATTAAAATGTGAGCGTCGTACCAGAAAAAGTGGACCGAAGTATTCCATCTAATACTGATAAGAATATTGGGATGTGAAAAATTAAAAGAAAATCTAACACTTATTCAAAATTCTAAAGGAATAACGTTAGTCAAAAGTTTTGCATGTTATGAGAGATCATAAATGTTGACCCTTTGTGAGGAAGCTACCAGAGGTAGTGAACCGATACATTCCATCTTCGCACTAGATCGAGTGTTTGTGGAAATGTTAGAATGTGGAAAGTTAGAATGAATCGGGTGCTCGTTTATTATAGGAATTTGGGTCATTTAAATTTTGACTCGCCGTGTGGGAGGCATCAGAAGGAGAGGTCCTACATATATATCATATTCACACCAGATATTGTTTTAGAGGAATTTGAAATTTGAAGAGAATTGGATGTTCAATTTAAGTGTTATGGTCTTTTGACTATTCAAAATGTTTACCCTTTGTATGGGTATTCAGTCGGATCTTCTGTTGATAGCAATAATGAGATGTGCCGAGTTTGAAAGGAATCGGATGCTTCCATTCGAATTTTACGATCTTCATGGATATTCATGATTGAATCATTGTGGGAAAGTTACCAGAAGAAGTGGACCGATATGTTCATCTCCACACCAGAACTTCTGTTTATAAAAATATTGATATGTGTAAAATTTGAAGACAATCGGACTGTTATATCACATTTTATAAGATATATTTTTTTAATATATAATTATTCCAAATTCTGACCCTTTGTGGGGGTGCTACTTGATGGAGTGGCCCGATTGTCCATGTTCGCACCTGACCTAGCACTGATGCAAATATTAGG